AGATATATTTTACAAACAAATTAAATAAAGATTCGTACTTCTTAAAAGTTTACAGAAAATGCTATAAGAAAATTAAGTTTATACCAATAAATTTATTCGACTTTTTCCATGCATAACACTTCGACCATTATCACAAATTCGTAATCAGTTTATCTTTTATAAACAATAAATCTATGCATAAATAATAAATTCAGCGAGTTTGAATAGTAATCGAAGCATTAAAAAAGACTTTTTTTGATTATTTAACATGTTTTTAGAATAATGAAAAATGAAAAAGAAAAACTTCAAAAAATTATAAAAAATAAAAGATTAGTCGTATAAGTATCAACGTATAACGAAGGAACGAATGTTGCTCGGAGCAAGTTGCGTCTCGATTTCTAGATTACAGAGTTTAGCTTGAAGCAAGTTTCGTTCGATCCGGCTTTTGAAGACCTTGAATCGTACAAGACACACCAGCTACTTGAAACTCGATCGAGTATCTTCGGAGGATACGATTTATCGTTACATAAATGAAAGCGCGTAGGACAGCAGTTGAAATAATAACTAAAGTTTCATTAAAACTACCCACACAACATGTCTCTTCTCGCCGGAAACAAGAACGTCGTGAAAGAAGATAATCGAAATGCGTGTGTTCGGCAGGAATTATTAAAAACACAAATTTTATATGATTTTAGTCGATTTAACCAAAAAGAAAAATGAACGGTTCCCAAATCAAAACAATTAACTTCCCATTGTAAAATATCCTCAAATTTTAATATCAAAGTATTTTACTGATGTTTAGTTTTATATTTTTTTTAATAAATAAATTTCTCATTTATGATAACGCTTAACACCAATAAACAAGAACAACTTGTACAATCTTACAATGATAAATTAGACGACAATTTTATATTGCTTTATTAATTTTCTCTACTTTTTATTTTGTGAAGTTAATTGATTTGATAATCAATGTTCGTAATTATCTGTTCTTATCTCATGTTGTAGTTTAAAAATCAATGTTCTGTTGGTCATGTGTGCTGTTTTATCAGATTTAATCTACGGATCAAATTTCAATTTCTTACTTTAACTACTCGCCTCTTGTAAATTCATTTACTACATAATTGAAATATTTAATTCTACTTTCTTTCATATTTAAAGAAAACAGTATAGTTATTCCAGGGTTTAACTAAACATTTCACGAATCAACGGATTTCATAAAATAACGCTAATGTATAAGATATCTAGAGGATGCAACTTGTATACTCAAAATCGAAGATATACTTGATATATATAGAGAATGCAACTTGTACACTCAAAGTCGAAGATATACTTGAAAGACAAGTCATTCCTCCCATTGGTTTGGCGAGAAACGCCTTTCGTATTTCCATGAGGTTCCTTACGTAAGCGCAGATATTATTATAGCCGTCAATTCGTAAAAGGAACACCAGCGAAAGTTAGCAGAATTTATCTTCCTCTTCTCCCACTTTCGCGAGAAACATTCTCGTAAATGAAAGAGATACTAATAAAAAAGGAATAAAAAGGATGCGTGGCGCCTTACCAGCGTAACGAAGAACTACGACGTCACGATGTTAAACCAAGGCAAAAAACCAAAAAACAGGCAAATAAATAGAAGACAAATTCACGAAGGTAAAAGACAAAGGAGAATAAAGATCAAATATAAATCTATTTCTTTGTTGGTTTTTATGTTTATTGGATAAAATAAACGAAAGTTACCAAGGACCATGTATACTACATTGGATTGAGTAAAAAGTTTCTTCGTATTTTAATGCAAAAAAATAAAACAAGTTTTTCTTATATTTTGTATACAGCCTACTCCAAACAGTTTAAAATTATTTTGTGGCTCGTGTTTAGTTCCTTATCAATATTATTACTGCTTTTTTCTATAATTTCGTTAACTTTTGTAATATAATTGATCGATCACAGAATGAGATGGTACATCTTTGATATAAAAATTGAAGACGCTTAAACCAGCTTTGTGTTATACGTACTGATAACTGCATCATGACTAATATAAACATTAGAAATTTTTTTAACAAAATAATTTTGAATTGAATAAACAAATATGATAACTTTATTTATTACTCTATGATACGTTACCTTTAACACACACGCAAATATTGTCAGATCCGATAAATATTACCAGAGTTATGTAATACTAAAGTCATCTATCAGGAAAATACGAAGAAACTTTTTACTTAATTCAATACATAACAGAGATTCAAGTGCGAAAATCAACATATTAAAATGACGGATACACTAGAGTTCCTTGGATAATATTAGGTTTCATTGCTATTTTTCCTAAGGTCTTTATGTAAGCTTTTTTAAGTAAAAATGATGAATTAATCTATCATGGTACTTTGGAAATGGCATAAATAAATGTAACCTTAATAAATTATTATCTATTTTATTTAAAAACATATCATCTATGGTTGACCAAAACTCAATTACAGTTTCCTTTTCCTTTTTATGAGAAAATTACTTTTTTGAATTTACTGGCCGTACTCTATAAAAAGTGTCAATAATAGTGCATGAAAGCATAAACAAAAATCATACTTTACTAAAACCCGATTTTTTCAATTAAACACTTATTTAACAACTAATAAGTCAGATTAGCATAGATATTAGTTAGTAACTTTTGACTAAACATAAAGAATGCATATTTAGGATTCCTATTCTCGAAGTTTCTCGCTATGAGCGGCTTGTCTGTTGTAACGTACTCGCTGAATAAAAGAAGTGTCGAAATTTCTACAACTAATGTTGCTTAGACGTTTCTTTGACTTAGACTTTATCAATAGATCAAATACAAACATTTACAAATATTGACAAATTTAAAGTTCAACCGATATCCTAGAATCTTCTAAATTACGAATTCTATTCTATGTGTATAAAAACTGTAAATATTGTATTACAAGAAAATATTGAATTGACAGTGATGCTATAAATACTCTTAAGATTCACTACATTAACAATCAATGTTCAAAATATATGAATAAAATTATATCATGTGACTCTTATTATCGAACAAGTTGCCTATTTTGGACTTAATATACAAGATATCGAACAAGAGTATCGGTAAAAAATAAATTTTCTTGTAACATCTTCATAAATGTAACGAAATTATGATTCTTTATTTAATTTGCTGTATACTATTATACAGCAAACTATAGAGATTAACATGTTGAATGTGACGCCGATTTTAGTATACTTTCCGCTTAGGCGGCAAAAGACAATCACCAAGAGACAATCAGTAAGACCCACCCTGTCAAAACCAAAAGTCTACTGTCAGTCCCCAGGGACTGATGCCGCCTGTTCACTGTCAGTTCCAAAAGACTGACGTAGCAATCTACGTGTTAAATAAGTATACGACACGAACAAAATAGATTTAAATTGTTCGAAATATTTTCTAAGCAGAAAGGAGCCTTTACACATTTTTCATTATTTGTCTGTTTATCAATTTAATCACCATAGTTTACAATATAATTAAAATTTAAATTAAAAAAATCTATTTAAGAACAAAAATTAAATAAAGAATCATACTTTTTACAAACTTACAAAGAACATTATAGAAAAATGTAGTCCTTATAAATACTTTTGTTCAACGCTGTATATATAATATATTTAAAGTCTTATTTTCAAACAAAAATAATTCATATTTTCAAAGTATCAAATAATATTTGAAATTTTAAGGCAAAAGTCCATTCCAAAACTTTTTTAGCTTTATGTTACTTGCCTGTAAGCCAAAGATTTCCTTATATCTTATCAGAAATGATAAGAAATTTTATGGAAATCGATTGAATATTTAAAAGCGAAAAATAAAATTAACTTCAGATAAAAATTCATGATAAAATAGAAAACTGATCGTATGTACGTAAAGATTAGGTAACAGTTAAACAAACGTGATTTAAATTATTTGTTATTAATATAATTAAAAAACGACATTAAAATTAGTAGTTTTTTCTCCTAAATTAGTAGATAATCAAGGAGTACGTTTTACAGTGAAGAAAAGTTATACGCGTGAAAGAGAAAGTGAGAACGAGAAAGAGAGAGAAAGAAAGAGAAATCAACTTAGTCCACGTGCGAAGTGCGCGAAAACAAAAATTAAAACAGACGTCTTTAATCACCATGTTTCTAAAGATAAGAAATAAAGAGATAAAGAGTTAAGAAAAAAAGAAAAAGATCAACGTTTATACATTGTTTACGATCATTATCTAAATCCCGAAGTAAAAGAAAACAAGGGAAATGAACATTCGATATCAACTATCTTATTTTTAAAACAAACGACACGTAGAAAGATATTAAGCGACGTATGCAAGATGAAAGAAAGAGAAATAGAAAACGAAAGGAAACGAGATCGGCGAAGATGAATCAAACAACAAATGGAGCAAACGTCATATAGAAGAGTAATTAGTAACGATGATAAGAGTTAAAAAATTGGAGAAGAAAAAGGAAAGAAAGAGGAATAAAAGAAACTCTATTCGTTTCAATAGTATATGGAAGAAGCACGAAAATAGCTTTGGAATGGTTTGAGCGACTTTCGTCGAGACGACGACGAACGGCAAACGAACGGTAGTAGAAGGTTCCGAAATGTTGAAAGAGCAGAACGAGGGGATTAACGAGTGTGAGAGAGAAAGGAAATACATAAAGGGAAAAAGAGAGAGGAAAAAGATCGTTCAGGCAGAAAAGGAGCCAGAGTACGAACAAACGAGCAAAATAGAAAGAGTGAGAGAGGGAGAGAAAAGAGTCGATGTGTAAAATGCGAGCGAGTAAAAGAGAGAGAGAGAGAGAGAGAGAAAGAGATAGGGGATAAGAGAGGGCGGAAGAAGACCATTGCGAGTCCACATTGGGGTGACCCAAGCGGCAATGTTCGGCCGGACGAAGTTAATTCGTGGCCCCGTCGGTCCGGTCGAGCAATAGCGAGGATTTGATTTTATCTCATAAAGAAAGAAAAAGAAACTGGGAAAAAAAATATTGTTGATTTAATATATTTTTGTATTTCTTACCTGGCAAACCGTAAACCGCCGCAGAAAGAGAGAGCAAAGCCACGACGACGAGGAGGCGGCGTAACGAGACGCTTCGTCCCCTTCGCATTTTTCCACTTGAAGCGCAACACCACCGGTTTCCTCCTTGTTGTGTTATCGTTTCTTTCTTTTTTTCTTTCTTACTGTCTTTTCGCTTCCTTCTTCTTATCGCTGTCTAATTTTATAATTTTTTTTTTTGAGGATTTTTCAAGCACTGCGAATTGGCTTAAGTTGTGTTTTTTGTAACTTAATCACATAATAAACAAACGAAAAACGAATATGTGATACGCCGAATTAAACTCACAACGATAATACCACAAGTCAATTTCTCCCCTCTTTTATTATTTCCTTATTTATCGACGTGCGCACTTCTCGTTTGGCTTACGTCGTGAGGAAACGAGACAACTTGAAGAAAGACGAATGCCTCGAGTACGCGCGGCTAACTAAACTCGACCACGCGTGCGGGACGAGCTGACGAGCAACGTGAGTTGGAGGGGGAGAGAAGATACAGTCAACCAAGTGAATATAGAGAGGGGAAGAAAGAAAGAAAGAGTGAGAGAGAGAGAGAAAAAGAAAAATAGAAGCAATTCGAAGGAGAGAGTTTTGTTATGTACGATCACTCTACAATTTCAATAAACACGCGTCGACCGGCTTGTCAATGTACACAGCCGGTCGGCACACTTTTGACAGATAGATGATTCCTCGCGCTGCCAAGACGCGCACGAGCATTTGTTATTAAGCGACCATTTGCAATAATCGAAGGCATTTAAGTTCTTCGAGAGATCGCCTTATTCTGACATGTTCTCGAATCCCAAACAGTGAAACATCGATAATCATCGATTGTCGAATCATATCGATGTTACGCATGTTCCCAAAATGCGCGCCATTTTTGAATTAGATCACTCCTCAATCATTTAAATATATCTCTATTTCCTTGATTATTTTTGGGGACAAAATTTTATTTGTATTTCGTAGATTCGTTTTTATAGCAGCATTACGATTTATGTCTTGCGTAAATCGAGATTAATCATTAATAGATTTTGAAATGAAGATTTATATTGTAAATTTGTTATAACTTTGGTTTTAGACCAATTTCTATTATATTATATATTATAGTCTTATATAAATTACAATATTCAAATTTTCTCAGTCACTATGAAACATATAAAGATTGAAAATAACTTTTTTATTTTTGGAACTTAAATTTTACAGGTGATGGCAATAAAAAATAATAAATAATTGGTCGATGGATTTTTCAAATTCTGCTAAAAAATCAAAAGTAATCAAATTTATTTTTAAGTAATAGAAAAAGAAGCTATCTTCGTACATTCATAGTTTTTTTTTTTTGAAAGATATAATATTATTTCAATCGTATATTAAAATGAAAAATACTGTAAAAGACATAGTATTTCTAATAATAAGTAACAGCATAACAAATGTTGCTATGTCGCAATCCAGATAAAGTTACAACAGAGTAAAACGTTCATAGTTATCTTGCTTTCCGGTAGATGACGCCAGCGTTAATTATGACAAAAATCGATTGCATCCTATGGTATTTTAAAAATGTATTTCCTCTCTCCCTCTCGCTTATACCTTACTGTATCGTATGACAATGACAGAGATCGGCATCACGTACGAATTACATCAGAAAAGAACCATTGGTTAAATCAAAAATTTCCTTCTTATAAACGCGTTTCAACGAAATTACCGCGCTTTCAAAAGAAACGTTTTTGATATTCGGCATAGAATATAGTTCCGAATTTGTAATGGTTGACAGCGGCACGTGTCATGGCGAGTAGTATACTATTGATATAAGCATAGAGAAGTTGTTCTTTCTGTAATAACTATCAAATATTGCTGACAAAATTCATCAAAGTATAAGAAATGAAGGAAGAAACAATGCTTAGTTTAAAGTGGCACAGTTTTCACTCTCACTTGGCAGTTTCTTTAGATACGTGTTATGAGAAGCAACAGTTTGTGGATCTTTCCTTGGTGTGTAAAGACGGAACAATACTAAAGTGTCATAAGATGGTATTAGCAAATTCGAGTCCTTTCTTTCGACGTTTACTCGTCGCTAATGATCATCCTCATCCAATGATCATACTTCATGATATCGAGGCTGACGATCTTAAAACGATTGTTAATTTCATGTATTGCGGAGAGATAAAAGTAGTTAAAAGTGAGGTTAGAAGGTTGCTAAAGTTGGCTGAAATCTTAGAAGTCACTGGTTTGCGACACATTCAGAGATCATTTTTAACGGGAGAACATTACAATGCTTCTCAAGAAGTTCCTAAAAAGACAACTACAATGGCCCCTTCTAAGGTAGAAGACAACAGGAACTCTAACAAGAGTGGTGCAAATTCTGACTTCAGATCAAAGGTTCAAAACAAGAATGCATCTCAGTCTTCTACATTTCTGTCTTCACTTCATCCGTGTAGTAGCACGTCTAAAACTTCCCAAGATACTGCCAAAAGAAATGAAGAAAGTAACATTACTTCTTCGAGCCAACGATTTGAAAGTAGTAGACCCAACCATAATAAAATAGACATTAATGACATTCCAAGTACAAGTAAAGGTTTACAACCACAAATGAATTCAAAAAGAAAAACATCTGATGAATCTGTTATCAGTTGGCAAAAAATTTTATCTACTATATCGAAAGATAAGCAACTGCCATTAAAAAGATTATGTATAATGGATGAAGTGGAAATTACTCCAGGTAAACCTTCCACATCCAAATCTGATATTAAAAGAGACGAGCCATTGGACAGAAGGAAATCAATTGATATAATCCATAATAATACTTCTATGAAATGTGCAGTTTTTATAAAAGATGAATTAGATGTTTCATCAGAGTTAGAAGAAAATGCAGATATGGATCCTCTTGAAATTGAAGAACTTGAAAGTGAAAATACAGAGAATGTTGTTGCCCCTAAACGAACGTACAATTCGTGGAATGTTGATCGGACTTATAATACACGTAAAGTGCTAGATTTTCCACCAAAGAAAGGTCCTAACAGTTAATATGCGGAATATTGAACTTGAATTTATTAAGAGTGATGCTTCTTTAGATTACAAGATTTTGTAATTGTACATTTATTTAAAAGGATAAATCTTGTTAAAAACTTATCCTTGTTATATAATTATAAATAAGGATTAATATTTTAACTTCGTCGCTGTTTGTTATATTGTCTTAATCCCTTCCTAATAAACCAATACGTATAGTAGTTTGTTTATTTTGTTACCCCAGAAAAATCGTTATTAGGCTTTATCATTGGTTTATAATTTATAATCATTTTTCAAATCTAACATAAATAATAAAAAGAATTTTAAATAATAATTTTGTAAATCAATATTACTTACATAGAATGTATTAAGATAAATATTGATTATAAGAATGAAAATTTCTGAACTGTGTTGCCATAGTAACTGTTTCTTTGCTTAATCGTATGTTTATTATGATCTATTAATAGTATTTAAATATAAGTGCTTATAAAGTGAATTAAAAATATGGATTCAAAAAATTCTAGACATAATAATAAACAAATAATAGAATGCGAGCAAGTAATAGAAAATATCAGTTCTACTAATAAACATACAGAAGAAGAGTTTCAGAACTTCATGCACCGAGTAACTGAAATTGGTAGGTTATAATAAGTTGCGAACTGATTCATGTAATTTTGTGAAATTTTTGATTCAAACTTTTTCAATGATAGAAAAAATTGTATCAAAATTAGCATCTTCCGATACTAAAGAACAAGAAGTTGGTCAAATATTAGCAGATAAAATTTTAGATAAAAGAACTCAAGTAGTGATCTCTGACCAGGAAGAATTAAAAATTAAAACTAATCGTACAGTCATTAATAAGTATTCTATAAATGAAAGTACATCCGATCCAAATAAAATGGGACAAGGTAATTCATATAAAATTATATATTTTAACATTTATTTTATATGAATTACTACAATAATTATAATTTTATCTAATTATAAATATTATGTATACATTATAATTCAAATATGTCAAATAATTAGAAGCTTTCATGAAAAGTATTGAAAAAGATGCTAATGAACGAGCAGCAGATAGAAAGATAAGAAATGAACGTGCAGAAACATTAAAAAGAATTGGAAATGGTGCATTTAAAGAAGGAGATTATGAAAAGGCTGTGACATATTTTACCAAAGCAATTGAACAACGTAAAGACTCCACTGTTCTTTGGAATAATAGAGCTCTGTCATATATGAATTTGGAATTATTTGAAAAAGCTTTACATGACTGCGAATGGGCTTTGAAAGTAAATGATTCAAACTTGAAAGCTCTGTTAAATAGCGCTAAATGTTATAAAAATCTTCACAATGAAGAAAAATGCAAAGAGTTTATTAAACTAGCAAGAGAAAAAAATCCACATTTCAAAAAATTTGTTGATGGTATTAAAATTTGTATTTTTTTGTTAAATTATACTTTTTTTGCAGAATGTAAATATCATTTATTATTGCAGATTTTGAAAAAGATTTAGGTACAATAGACATAATCGACGATGTTTAAATTATACAACTGTATATAAATCTTCTTTCTATAATGAATACAACAGTAACGATTAATAATTATCCAATTCTAATATTTGATCATTGATTAATAAGAAAAGTATTTAAAAAAATGTTTATAAACTAAACACTTAATAGATGTTAATGATTTTATAATATAAATAAAAATATATAATTAATATCAAAATTTATCAATTTTTGTAGCATAGAGTTCTTTGTTTTCAGAAAGCGATCTTGGTTCGTGTAGGAAGACTGTACACTCAATGCCCTGAAATAAAATAATTTAATTGATATAAAGTATTACAAATATTTTAACATGTTAAATACCAAGCTTTTTTTGTTTAACTTTATATTCAGGTTATGATAATCTGTCAGTTAAAGAGCAACACAACAATGTTAACAACTGGCGACCAACATGGCCTGAACAGAAAGTATATTGTCGATCACTAGTGACCAATGTGGCATTTAACATGTTAAGAATGGATAATAAAGTACAAATGTAATACCTGCATTCGAGCTGCTCTAACGAAACCTTCATTCGCAGAAACAGTAATACTTTTCATGCTTTCACCGCTAGCAAAAACTAACCGTGATCTATCCTTAATTTTTCCACCTAAGCTCAATTGTTCCATAATCCTGCCAGTTTGTACATCATCTATAATTTTCACTCTTTTTAATAATTCCTGTGCTCTTAACGTTTCTTTAGGACCACCAATTACATCTATGATATTCATAAAATTCTTGTAGGCAGTTTGACAAATGACAATTGTTTTTCCTTTAAATAATTTGTCTAAAATTGGTTTAACGGGCCTTTTCCTTTCCATTTCAGCTTGTTGCGTTAATAATGGTTCTTTATATACAAAATAATCATATCCATTAGTCATATTAGAAACATATGCCAATAATGTTGAAACATCTAAATTCAAAATTTGGATCTCCTCTGCAATTGATGTTGGATTTAAATTTACCAGATCAAGAACAGGACTCTTTTTGAATTCTTCACTTTGTTCCCTTCCATTAGGATGTGAAACAAATAATGTTTCATCTATCTCTATTTCATTATTTTCATCTTCATAATTATTTATTCTATCACCTTCCACAGTAATACCTATGAACTCCAAGCGTTTTGCTAATATCTCTTCTATACCATATGCAAAGTAAAATACAACTTCGGGTGATTTGTATAAGTACGGATGATGCTTGGCGCATTGCAAATAGAATTCTGCTTGATCTAAGACAGACTTTTGGCCATATTCACCATTACCAAGCGATATCAAAGTAAGAGCTCTGGCATTTCTAGCAATAACCTTAACCCAAGATCCTCCACTCATACAGACAATATCTACTTCCAATCTTGATCCTTCGTATTTGAAAGGTTTCATTACACCAGTTGGTTCTTTGGAATTAAATAGACGCATTACCATTGCATCAAGATGAATTAAATTTGTACTTTGTAGATGTTCTTTCTTAACATTTCCTGTTGATTGTACCTTTATACAAATATATAAATATAATAATGACACAACAATATACTAAAAGAATAAAAAAATGTAGAATTTAAGTATATATTTTTAAAAAGTACCTTTTTCAAGAATCTTATCTCTTGCTGTATCTTTCTAATAAGCTTATCAACCCCATTAACCTTCTCCATGATCTTCAGTCGCTCTATCATATTTTCGCCATTGTAGATTTTTTCTTTGAGACATTTCAAAAGTTCGACTTTTTCTTCCATCGGCATCTATCGTGAAAGCGAGGATCGAACGTACATCGAATATTCCATTAACAATCAAAATTCTTTGAAATGATGTTAGTTCACGGTAGACGAGAGTAATATCGGTGGCCATCTTGAACCGTGGGTCAATACCGCGCAATGTCGTTAGGTCGCTTGTCAAAACCATCTAACCTAACAAATTTTTCATTCTTCTAGACGATCACAGTCAGTGTGTCAAACTACGAACTTTTAGCGATACGTAATTTCCTTCAAAAGTTCATTGTGTAATATAATAATTTAAAAAGTGTGTGTTTATGAAATTGTCTATCTGAAATAGAAAAAACAAAATCATATCGATGCGGTATATATATATAATATAAGTATGTGTGTAAACGTAGAATAGCCCTGTCAAGTTTGCTTCGACGAAAATAGAAACCACATCGGTATTGAGCCTTGAAAAATGTCTAACGCGAAGATAATAAAGAATCCAGAAGTACCGGGTGAGTTTTTATTCTCTATTTATTTTATATGACACTTGACATTTATTCACTTTATTCGTGCACGACGGCTTCCTTCTTCTCTTCTCTTCTCTTATCTTACTTTCTTTCTTTAGTGTCAACAAATATTCAAGTTGAAACGAGTACATGCTATAATCGTATAAGAAAAAACATTAAAGCAGCAATATAGAAATTCGTACAAGTCATTCGATATTTCGACGAATAGTATTCGTGCATAAACTACTTGCATATTCAGCTTTCGTTTCTGAAAAGTACATCTATAAAAACACATGCATCTACACGAAAGAGAAACACCGGTAAAGGTATATAGTAAAAGTTTGATCAACCATCGTGATAAGAGGCCAAACGAAGCGGATTAATCCAAATTCAACGAATAATCGAAACCCGGGTAGAATTATTAACATGTTGAAACCAACGTGTTTCACCGGTGGCTCCACGTGAACTTTTCATCAAGCGGCGTGTACTATCAATGGTTTACATTAGATAATTTTATAAATAACAATATAAGACTGATTATGATAACATAACAAATAACGAACAATTATATTATAAATCCTAATAAACAAATAAAAAAGTAAATTATACTGCTGAGACTGAATTTTTAAATAATTTAAAGAATATTTTGAATACGGAAAATTTGCAATTTAAAAAACAAGCGCTAACGTCAACATGTTACAAAACACGTTTTTTACACGCAAAATAAGATTTCATTTGATGATTAAATAAATAATTATAGATATTTATAACAGTAGGTTCAGTCAAATATTTCTTTGTATTTCAATGCAAAAGTTAAATAAATTTTTTTTTTCATATTTTGTATCCAACTTTCTTCAATGATACTGCATCACGTGTATCATAAACACCAGAAATGTTCCAAACAATCTGAGTTGCATTCTTCCTTTTTTTTGTAATAATATTTCGAAATATATCGAATTTCGGTACAATATATATATATATATATATATATATATATATATATATATATATATATATATATCGAATATAAAATCGAATATANNNATACAAAATTTATATAGTTTATTGATTTTTTCTAATTAACACATTAATTTTTATTTAAATACAGCTTTACCGAATTAAAAATTGTAAATATACATATATATATATTTGAATGTATGTATTTATTGTATTTATGTACGTATGTATACCTATGTGTATATACGCCATCAAAGCACCTTTGTTAACCAAGCGTTTTGTAGTCTATCATCAATTAACTGCTTTTGAAATCGCTTTGGGATCTGCATTTTTTAATTCAAAATAAGAATTTCTTTTCATCTAAATGATTTTGTTATTCATACAGTGTGTATATAATAATATATATTGTAATAATATAATAGACCCATACTTTTTTAATATCATTGTAATTAGAAATTCATATTTTTCAATGAGAAACAAAATATTTTAATTTTATTATTAAACTAATATTTATATTTTATTTTGCTTTTTTTACTTTCTAGAAAGCGGCGATTTTTGGATTACATTGTATTTCTATAGAATGTTGAACATTATGTATGCTCAACATAAAATATAATTAGTATTATTTATTTATTTTATTATTTCCAAGAAAAACTGTTTCTAGACAGGCACGAGAACATTAGAATCATGTAATACGTATTATATTTCGAAGGTTACGAATATAGAACACACTGTATGAATAACAAAATCATTTTTTCATTTCATGAAAGCAAATTATTATTTTGAATTAAAAAATGCAGATCAAAAAGCGATTTCATAAGCAGCTAATTGATGATAGACTACAAAACGAGTGGTTAACAAAGGTGCTTTGATAGTGTATATACACATAGGTATACATACGTACATAAATACAATACATACATACATTCAAATTTATTGTACTACCAACGCAATCCAGAATTTCAGCTGTATAAATATGCTGTAAAATATAATGATTTAGAATTTAAATATTATTGTTTTTCAAGCTTTAATAAATTCAACAATAGTTTTAAAGTCAAAATCATTCGTAAATTCAGAAAATTTCATAAATACATGTCAATATTTTATAATATATATCTACATATTACAATAAATAAAAAATAACAAAGTGTTGACATACATTTACGAAACAGCCTATATGTTCAATTGTAATAAAACGTATTTATACAACTATTAATATATTTCATTAAATGATGGATTATTATAAATTAGAATAATTTACGAGAAATATTATTAAAATAATTAAACATACAGAAACAAAAAAAATCAACGTACGATTGAATATTTAAATTCTTGTACAATACAAAAAGAAATTACTAATGTCATAAAAAATAATAATTAATTTGTTTCGTTACAATTAGGATTAGAATGTTTCTTACCACCACCTCCGCCACCTCCACCTCCCACAACTTCATCGACGAATGGTATGTTGACGACTGGTGGTACACAAAATCAACAACAGCAGGAACAACAAAAATCAACTGTAGAAACAACGACAACGAAAACGATGACAACGACGTTAACAACGATTACAACGGAAACGATAACGAGCTCAACAACGGTAAATCCGAACACGATACAAACGACTCTTCCAAATTTAGCGGTACCAACTCCGTATATCCTGCACCCTCCGATGCAACCGCAAACACCGTCACAACCAGCCATACCATGGTGGATTTCTACGGAGGCGGACACCTCGGCAGACATGTATGCGCAATGGTACGATACATCGTACAAAACTGCACCAGCTGCAAATACGGTTGTCCAAGTATCAGCGGTTCAACAATCGTCGAAACCGAAGAATAAATATTATAAGCGTAAGAACGAGTTCATCGATCCTGCCCAAGATGCAGGTGATTGAGTTATTTTTTCCATTATTAATAGGCCGTTTAAAAAAAGGTTTGATTCATTTTAAATAATAGAATTCAACCGAGCTTTTTATTGTTGTATTTAAATGCATCTGAGATTTATATATTACAACGTGATTAATGTATATCGTATGAATAATAACACGTGATTATCACGTTGATTCTTGCTTATTGAATTCATGAAAATTTATTCGAATGTATCAAATCATATTTTGATTTACGATGAATACATATCAACGTAGATATACACGTATACATCGCACACGATCATCAACTGATTCTTTGCATTTAGAAAATTGGATCTGAATTTTTGATATTACCTTTTTCATCGAATAAAAACTTTTTGCAAATATACATATATATATATATAATATATTATATTTTTTAAATAAAAATATTACAATTGGTGTATATCAAAATCTAAGATTTTAAATGCGATGAGAACGACAGTATATTTTGTAATATCGTATTATAAAAACGTTAGCATAAATACGGCCTTACATTTTTGTTTTCTCTTAAAAATCTACCTGCACGAATCATTTCATTGGAGAAACAAATGTTTACTTTGTTTTTGTTTGTTTATTTGGTTCGCGCTCTCTCTCAGAGAAAGTTGCCAGCGCCCAAAGGGAGTTGTCGGCGCTGATGAAGCCGCTAAAGTGCGATCTCTGTAACGCGGTGGTAAGATTTCTTTATCTGCTAACTTCCATGAAATTTGATCCGCGACACAATGAGGGGAATTGAACAAATAAAAACGATTGGACGTTTACAGATGAACTCCACCCTGCAAGCAAAATTGCATTACGACGGTAAGCCACATCAAAAGAAAGTAACCATGTTTTTAAATCAAAGCGTGAAGAAACAGAAATCGGAAGATGGTCAAGTCAGTAGTACAACTGATTGGCAAAATCAGTGCGATGTAAGTATTCTTTTCGTTTTTTTACGAATTTTTTTAAGGACTGTTACTTGATCCTTATTTCAGAATTTGATATACTTTTAATTTCAGATCTGTAAGACGTGGTTCTCATCGCAAATCGAAGCATCTCAGCATTACTCTGGGAAGAAACATATAAGAGTAGCTCATGGGGGTCTTCGCTCGAGGTATCGAAATGTCCTGACTCATTTCGATCAATTATCATCCAGAGCGTTCGACCGAATTCGATCATGACAATATTGAACGTTCCAGGCCGAAAAAGTCACAGAATCAAAATCAGTACAACCAAATAGATTCGACCGGTCGATACGGCATAGGCATGGCTTTCCAACAAGACGTGCAAGTGCCAGGAACATCCGCCGTGGTATCTGATGTTAGTAACATCATGATGTCACCGCAAGGAACCCCAACTCCCATTTACACACCTCCAGCATATCCCACCCCACTTCGTTGCGATCTCTGCGGTGTCTCCGCGAATCGCCAGGATCAACTAGAAACACACAAACGTGGTGCCAGACACATGAGAATGCTCAAACTAAATGGATTACCCATACCTGAACTACGTATGAGAAAATTGTTCATATTACTTCTTTTTTTTTTTCCTTTGGTTCGTGTTTTCTCGAAAGAGAACATGTATATTTATTTGCAGTATGATTTTTTTATTTTGTAGTTTCTGAAAGTGAAAATGCTTCGAGTTCGTCAGGTCCTATAGATTATTCCATTTATAGAACACCCTCGGGTAAGTATTTTTATTCTACTAAGTTATCCAACGAAAGTCTTGAAAAATGAATATATTTTTTTTTATAGGGCAATATTATTGCGCCCCATGTAATCTGTCGCTGAATTCGGAGAGCACGTTCGCTCAGCACGTGGAAAGTAAGAAACATAAAAATCAATCGAATCCCAAGTCACCGTTGAACTCAGCAGTAATATCGAAGAAAGCAAGATTCAAGAAGAAATAAACGAGAGCAGAACGTATATATCACATATTTTCATTCAAATTTGATTTTTATTCAACAGATTATCGACAATCGTTATGTCGAATAAGTTAGACGCGTTATCGATCTTCACTTTAACGTTTAAAACGGATTTAATAATAAATTTGTGACGTCTTAACATAAAAAACTACGCGTAAGAATCACATTAAAAAACGCGGTAAATTTAACGAGCGTTTTTCCTTTTAAATTAAATACTCGCGGTGAATCTTCGTATCTGCCTGTTATATCGTCAACGCAGATATTAAGAATTAAACTTAAGACCGAACATTCGCCGTCGTCTGCGCCGATGATGAGAAACATAAGCACGTTAAGCTGGGGCCATATTTTAAATGAAATACCGATTAACTTTAAATTAAATTTACGCTAACTCGAGCGGTTACTAAGCGAAGCCGAGACGGAGTTCGTTACAATTTCTCTCGGAAACGATCATCATCGTTCATCATATTTATTCAATTACAAAACTATTAACGCTCGCTTGGATTCAAGTAAGTATTCTCGTTCCTGCCTAGACGTGGAGAATTCGCGAGATCGAATCGTCGTCGTCGTCGTCGTAAGCCGTCCGTCGCGTTACGCGTCGCGTTCTCCCAAGCCTCCCGTGTCATGGCCTATGCGTGAAATTTATGCTTCGCTTGTTCCTCGACCTTCCGTAGAATTTATGACCAAGAGCGAACGAGCCTAACATCGAACCCTCTCGGGTCTATTAATTACCTGCTAAGGCAACGTGTATGACTTATCAACCGTTTACCAGTATCTTTTTTACCTTCACCTTGGTACGACGAATATATGATCGAAAGACCGGTAAACGTATATTGGAGAATACTACTGTGTCAGACACGACGAATCAGAACTAAATTTACGAGCAAGTAAATTTACGATGGATAAAAGCTCGACTCTCGCGATTCCTGGATACGTTCGGAGCAAGACGATAAAGCAAGACGATCATCCACCAAATTCTCTCCAAAGTCGTTTTTCTTCTCTTTTTTTTCTTTTCTTTCATTTTTATTATATTTGTTATTTTTCTATTCATGTTGGTCGATACACAACCATCTCTATATTTCTAAGCGAATTCAAAAGAATTCTCTTGGCAATTTGGCGAAGTAAAGGGTTATTTTCTTTCGGAGCCCATTTGTTTTTTGTTTTTCCGCTTTTGGTTCTCTTGCTCTTCTTTCAGCAACTTAAAAAGAAAAACACAAAAGAAAGAGAGAGAGAGAGAGAGAGAGAGATTAGGATCGTTCTCGCACGGACTTGTAGATCGCTGCTTTATACCTGCGCTTCGGATTTTTATGACCTCCCTGGTTCCACGTTTAGCGTGTTTTCTTTTTTTTTATTCCCTTCTACAGCTTCCCACTCTATCTTCTCTTTTTCTCCCTGTTTGTTTGTTCACGACATCTACCAAAATCCCTTTTTCCATCTTCTCGTCTACCGCGTAGCTGAATCCAGGGGTGCCACTCTTCTTCCACGTTTTGTTTTCTGACCCGATGCTTTATTAAACCTAAAAAATAAGAGAAAGCGTTGCGTTACATTGTAGCTTCAAGTTTTAAGAGAACTTCTCTTAAAAGAGGATTGAAAGAAAAATTAAAAAAAAAAATGAATAAAATAAAAATTAAAAAAAATGGATAAAAAGACAGAAAGAAGAAAAGAAAGATATCGTAAAGAGAAAATTGTCTTTTTGTATTCCAATCACCAATACCAATATCACCAACATCATCGTTTCCTAGCAATCTTCGAGCATAAATTAGTATGGTATACATAAAATTCTAGGGGATATATTTAAAGGATAGGTTAGCTCGTACAATGAACTGGTAAAATGGAAAACATGCGAATAAATGTAAAACGTTTTATGATGCATACCATTTTATTTTAATGCTTTCTCTCGTGCTAAACAGTTATTACGAGTGAGAGAGAGGGAGAAAATATTAATTAAAGACCAAGATCGCGTCGTCTACATTTATGTGATGTAGTTGCGTATTCGTATGCGTTTACGAGGATGATGTTAATCCGGGAACTTCTAGAATAAGAGAAAGAGAGGGAGAAAGAGAGGGAGAAAGAGAAAGAGAGCGAGAGAGAGAGACAGATATATCTACAAAAAAGGTCGCTCTCAATCTGTCACGCAGCAGATAGTAATGCGCGTAAAAAGCCATTAATCGGAGCGGCTTACGGGCAAGGTTCGCTTCGAATATCGGTGGAATTCGTCGTCAATGACTGGAGAGAATTTCTCAAGAGGAAGATGAGTAGGAGGATGGTAAAGAGTTTGAGGAGACTGTTAGTCGACTTGTTTCCACCTGCGAGAAGACGATGCCGTGACGAAAAAATCAATCGATCGATTCCTTCCACCCCATCCTCCCTCCCATCCCCCTCTCTTTCTCTTTCTACTTTACAGTGATGATGAACCCATATCGAAGATTTCTCTTCACGAATTCTCACCTAAAATCACAAAGAGCATTTTGAAGATAAGTGAGTTAAAAAAAGATCATCGTAAAAGTCCTATTTCATGGTATTTAATATCTATCGAATGATATTAACAAAATCTTGATCACGATTGAAGCATATGTTATGGTAAATATACGAAATCCGTTATATGATTTGATAAATTCATTTGATAAATCAATACACTTCAAAAAACAAAGGATAAAGAAAATTAATAAAATTACATACATTTTCATATTATTTATTGTTCAATAGCTATATAAAATTTTGTTGTTTTATGTTGATAAGCCTAATTATAAGGAAAATTTATTTGAAATATAAAAAAGTAGGCACAAAGATTTAATGCTTTTATAGACAAATTTAAAATAATTTTTTAAAGCGAATTTGATCGTTTTAGCATGTATATGGCTCATATAACGAATAGACTAGCAAGAATCTGAAATTAGTAACGTTTATGAATATTTTGTATTTTAATTAGCACAGTTTGCAATATAACGAATTTGGGAAATTTACGGTAACACATACAAAATTGAATATATTCTATCAATGATGTGGTTTTTTCAGTGTATTTAATATCCACGAGTAATTTATTCTGATTTTCAGAATAATCGACGACGATAATCGAACAAATGTTTAAGCTGATGATCCTTTTTTTTCTTATTTTTTGTCGAATGTGCTTGGAAATCATTGAAATTCTCTGAAGTTTTGATTATTGATGATCTGATTTGAAATAAGATATTTTATAATAATTAATAGTTTGTGTTTCCAAGATATTTATTACTAATTGAGTTAAGTTATATGGAAAGTTATTAATTGTAAGTCATAACTACCTGAAATTGAGTGAATTTAGTATAAAGATTTTTATTTAAAAGAGAAGTTGTTTTATTTTTATTGAATGTTTGTTCATATTTCATTTTTTATTGTTGTTTTAAAGTGCTTTTTAAATGAATTATTCAATAGTTAGTATAATATGATTAATATTAACTAAAATTTTATTTAGCTTATAATAAACACATTGCATGCGGGTACATTTCGCCTTGCCTGCACTTAAACGTGCAGTAAGACGCGTTGGTCATTCAGTAAAATCGCAATAAATCGGAAACTACTTCGAACAAACCTCATACATACAATGCCCATCGTATTTATACGATAACCGCTCTCTAGCACAAATCTAGTAAATACGTACTTTTACGTGACCTGTGCTCCAGTGTTAGACTATTTAAAACATAAAAGTACATTTCCCGCATGCAATGTGTTGAACTATGGTTTAGTAGTTTAATTATATAATGTAAGAGTTATCTTACGGGTTGATAATTTTTGCTAAAATGAAAATTACTAAATTATGGTACCCGTATTGTGTTTAAATAATTTTGTCATTATGAGGTTTATTAAGTTTCTATATAATTTGGCTCAATTATACAATTTAAGAAATAGTAATTATTTAAATCAAGAAAAAAAAATCAAAGTGGAGATTAGACAATTGTATTGTTTATTTTTCTAAATTAATACTTGAATAATTAATGTTTATTTTTTTGTTGATAATAATTACTTTTACGATATTTATTATTATGCAATTTGAGAAATCTGAGATAATTTAACGAAGAAAATTAGAAAGAGCAAACCTTTTAATGGATTCGTATTCGACTAGGTATAAAACAAACTGGTAATGAAAAAAAAAAAGAAAAGAAAGAAAGAAAAAGAGAGAAAGAAATCGTATTGTGGAATCAAAACGAGCTCGAGCAAAAGTCACTAAAATAGGTACACACAGGCTAAAACGAATCATTATGGTTTCGTTTGGCGTAAGAGCGCTCGCGCGCGCGCGCTTCACTTCTAATTTCGCTAACAAACGACTAACCGAGTTAGCGCGGGAACGGTATAAACGAGTATAAAACGGGGGAACGAACAGCGGCAGCGGCCTCTTTTGTCTCGTGAATTCCATTGTCTGATGAGAGAGAAAGATAGTGATAGAACGGAAAAGACAAAGTTCGTTTGAAATATCCACACAGCGGTACATTTTCTTTCTATTTTTTTTTTCTTATTTTTTTTGTTTATTGTTGTTTTTTTTTCAATACGTCGTCGAACAGAGCTTACGACAAATTCGTACAATTATTTCTCGATTAGGATGAATCAACGAGCCGAGGACGAGATTAGCCCTCTAGGCTAGTTATATCAAGGATAACGAGAGAAAGAAATAGATGGATAGAAAGAAAAATAGACAGAGAGAAAAAATGCGTAAGCCTTCATGTTCCGCGAGTCGGCTAATTACGGAAGTTTCCTGGACAATTTCGGTATTAATAAAGTTTTTTACGTCTCATCTTGACAAGAGAGTGAGCAGAGAAATAGGGAGAGAAATAAATATGTATATATATATAGGGAAAGAAAAAAGACCCTCTCTTGATTTTATCTGATATTGTTGCCGTTTTTGCGAAGATTTCCTGAAAAAAGCATCAACTATTTAGTTTTAAGTGAAGCTGAGCGTAAATATTATCTTGTACATATAAGCTTAGATATACAGCGTACTTCAGTCATATATAAATACGTACCTTGCCTTTTATTTTTTTTAATCCCTTTCTTTCGACAAATTTGAATGATATTTTACAAGTTGTTTCTTGAACCTTCAAACATTATTCTTACCACGACTAACTCAAAGTAAGTGCTGAAAGATTATTCTTCTATTTCTCGGTAAATGATCAAATAGAAGTGACTAATAAGATAAATACATATCTTGCAAACTTACAAGGCAATAAGAAAGATGGCAATATATATAAAGATATACACATATGTTTTACCAATATAGTATAAATGAACCTAAATGTATGTTGTACAAAAAATACTTATACTCTTAATAATTCCTCTCTCGAAATCAACGAAACTCATGTACCTTATTGTATATATAAGGTGTAATAATCAATTCGGTGCCTTGTTATTAAATTTTTTGGATCAAAATTGCTATCTTTTTTTTTATTAAGTTACTCAGTAGTTTCCTGAAAGATAGACCAAAATTATCAAACACGATGAAAACTAATTTTAAGAATAAAAGATAACTTTATACATAAATATTAAAGTTGTGTTAAAAAGGTATCGAATTAATTGTTACATCAAATAATATACATTAAAGGTAGCACCAAGTGTGTTTGTTATTGGAGTGTTACTTACTTTGGAGCTCCTCATAATCGTAATATTTGAAAATATGACACGATATCTATGAATATAAGACGATGGATATGAAAATAGTCTAATAATAAGTTAAAAATAGTAACAAAAAAATTATTTCATTGTATGATTCGTACAGTATAATCCAATTAGATTCTAATTATAATTCATATTATATTACGGATTATATCATATAATTCGTATTATAATCGTAAATTCTAATGATAATACGTATAATTCGTATAATTATACGAATTATGCAATAAATTAACTTCTTTTAATTTTGTATTTAGAACACTTTCATAATTATTGATATATTATGATATATAATGGGTATAGAGAAAGAAAGAGAGATATGAGAACTATTAACACATTGTTGATCAATTATTATATGCAATAACTTAATAAATTTCGTAATGGGTATATTAATAGTTGAATTATAAAATAATACAAATTTTGATTATATAAAATTTGAAGTTCTCACTAGGAAATACGATGAATAATATTATGTAAGAACAACTTACACAATTTCATATTTGAAAAATTACATAAGTTGGTTCCATCTTTAAATACGAATATACCTGTGATCGATCAATAATGTGTTAAGAATTATTAAATGTTGATGCTCGGAATTTAGAAGGAAATCGATCCACGTAAAATTTCTTTTTCTCCTTCTTCTTCAGAAAAAAAGTAGAAAAGAAATAAGAAGAAGAAGAAAAAAAGAAAGAATAGTATTCCCGTGATTACTCGTCGTTTCTCTCGATCCTTTAGAGATACCGCAACGGAAGGAAGGAGTTTTTATCAATGGTACTGATTCCACTTGACTCGGCTATGGGTACGGAAGAGAAGGAAGATCGGAGGGAATAAAAAGTGATCGAGAGGAGACGCATTTCGAAGTAGAAGGAAGGAGGAGAGAGGGGCTGACCTTGCAGGTCTCCACGGGGCCACCAATGTAGACTGACGAGAAAAGAAAAAATCCTGATGCTCCTAAATGCGGGCGGTGTGATGTCATGCGGAAATAGCAGTCGGACGCGATGGTGCCGTGTCGGCGTGCGAAGGAAGAACAGAAAGAGAGGAAGAGTAAAAGAGTCTGCCGAGAGACGCCAGAGGAGAATCTCGATCGCTCGACTTGGCCGATTACCTCCTCTCCATAAGCTTATAGTGAACAATTGAGTGAGATAGAGAGAGAGAGAGAGAGAGAGAGAGAGAGAGAGAGAGAGAGAGAGGAGAGATAACACAAAATGGAAAAGATCTTAAAAAACGCCTTATTTTCTAACTCGTCATTCAACGACTAATCCAGTCTCCTATTTATTCGACTCCATGATAGTAGATGCTATTAAACAGATTATCCACGATTTTTCCGACCTATCCGTTTCAATTACTTACTAATTTACTATATCCGCTGACGGTGACCGTAGTATCGGCAATGGACGCCGAGAGATCGTTGAAATTGTTTAACTCCGATCGTGGTCCCGTCAAATTTAACACATTTTGTTTATCATTTCCTTCATCGTTTCCATAAGATTCTATCTTTGAATTGTGAAATGAATGTATCGTTGAAATACGAGCCTCGGCATTCACGTTTTTTTCTTTTTTTGACATTTTTTCAGTGAACATGAATATTGTAATTTATATAAGGTAAGTATATACGCGTAAGTTGGATAAAAGATCAATTCTTTTAATACTTGAAAGAAACGAAATACCGTTTATTGCATACGCGCGCGTATCGCGATACAAAATGCAGAGTGTCTCTTAAGTGTTTGAAAGAGAAAGTAGCGACGCGTGTGTTCCATGAGATCCATCCTTTCGTCCACGAACATTCCAAGGCTTATAAAGATCATCTGCCATAAACGCGAATGCGTGAAGATGCGATCTTTACGCGAAAAATGGAAATTAAAATGAAAGAATGAATGTGAACGAGATGCAAAATCGAATGTCTTTCATTCATAAAGATAAAATTGAACTAATTTCTTTTCATTTCTATTTATTTAGTCTGTATTTTTTAAAATAAATGGTCAGTATACGTATATTAAATATTTTGTTTAGCGTTTAAATAAAGGTGAATATTTATAAGGAATAAAATTACTTTAGAATGTTAACGTAGGGTAAATTCTAATACTTCATTATAAATACTAGCTATTTATTTAAAATATTAACCAACGGTCTTTAAGAATACTGACCAAATTAATATCCAATTAATATAATAGGAGCCTTTTTTTGGTTTCAAATTATTTTAATAATGTATCAAATTTAATCTTCTTGTAAGAAACAAATAGAGAGAGAGAGAGAGAGAGACAGAGAGAGATTATTTTCAGTTATTTTCCGCTGTAATAATTATTTCAAGTGTACAGTAATTGAAAAACATAAACACTATTATAACTTGGGTCATTTTTCTAATTATCGAGACAAATTATACCTTAAGATATATATAAATGAACCGTTGGAAAACGGAATCGCATACTTTCGCAATTTCTATTGGAGTTGAGACGATCAGAAAAATGATACTACAGCTTATCTCTTCTTCGCTTCCGCTGTCGAGTCGTCACTTAAGGATCATAATCCGATTTCACGGTAACGATGTACGCGTGCAGCCTGCGAGAAGACCAACAAATTGTTGCACCGAAATTTTTCAGGCTTCGCGGAAGTAGTAGATATTGTAAATAATTTGATAAAAAGATGTTCACTTTTTTTTTTGAGGTTTGTAAACTTATTGAATATTTGTTTTAATATGTGTAAATACGTATGTGGCGTGAACTCTCGTTCGTTTAATTTGATGCTTATGGAAACTACAATAGCTTATTAAATACGTATCATCGCATTAGCCGTTAAACACGCTAAGTTAATGGATATTTATGAGCTTTAACGAAACGCTCGGTCGGATGAAATAATGCAACTCTATTTCTTTTAAATATTTTATAACGCTCGTAATATCTTTATTGATGCTAAAAAATGATAGGAAATATTTACATATGTACCTATCAATGTCGATGTTATATATCTATCTTATATGTAACGATAAATAATTTGATTACGATTATTTTTCAATTAATGCGATTAACTCGTAAAAGGGATTAGTTACAAAGGTGTTATCGATCGATTTGATTAAGTATTATTTAGTTGAAAAAATAAAGAGTTTTATATTAGTTGTTGGAAAACCATCATTTTATCAGTCACATTATTTTTTTTCAAATAGAAATAAATTTGATAACGTATCTTTCAGTAGAGAACACATTTTTTATAAATTATAAAAAATATGAAAATTGCTTACACTATCCATAATCTGTAATTAAATTATGAATCAAAATCATATAAAACTATATAAAATAATATTTTGATAGAAAAACACAAAACGTTTGACTGGTAGCAATCTATCGTCGATATCATTGCAAATTCAAAATAATAATCGTTAATTATAGGAAGCAAAATGGAGAAAGAGATAGAGAGAAAGAGAGAAAGAGATAGAGAGAAAGAGGTTGTTCTTCGTAAAAGTGATACGCCGCGGGCGAAAGTCACCAGGAATTCAAGCCCGATAGGTTCGTCGGTAGATTCGAGAGAGAGGGAGAGAGAGAGAGAGAGAGAGGTAGAAAGAGTGAGAGTGAGAGAGAACGATGTCACGCCGGTGCGCGGTGGCGCGCATGCGCGCGACTTATACTTGACGGACTCAAAAAATCAATGAACTCGCGGTACGAACGTGGCTGAGGAGATCACTTGTGGAAAATAGAGAAAAGATGTAAAAAGAAGGGAAAGGCAATATATAGTAAGAGCAATAAATATAATTTTGAATAAAAATAGTGAAAAAGAAAGAGAGAGAAAGAAAAAGAATAACAAGTTACAACGATCGAGGAAAAATCGTTGGCATTTGTCGAAGACGACGACGCATCGTGTACGATCGGAGAACGCGGGCGAACGAACGAACGAACGAACGATCTTTCTGTAAAAGAGAAGGAGAAGACTAGAAGTAGTAGGGATACTTGGTTAAGGGGGGAGAGAGAGAGGTATAGGAAAATGGAGGACGAGTGGGAAGAGAGGGTGCAGCCCGGGTGGCGGCGCTAGCGTAAGATGGCCGAATAGCGGTACGGCGGATAGCAGACGGGCGACCTCTTCGTTCGGCGCTTTACTTCGGTGCTACATTCGGCTGGTGGTGCGTTCGTTCGTTCGGTTTCGCCGCCGCCACCGCTACCACCGTTGCTGTCGCACGAGTTCGTTTCGGCTCGGCTTTACTCGGCGCTTCAGTTCGTGTCCTCTCGCTGCGCACGACGGACGTGTCTTTCGGTGATCGCGCAGAGAACGTATGTTCATATATATGATATAGGGACATACATAATACACATATATATATATAGACTGCACTCTCTCGGACTACTACCACCAACGAGTATTTTTCTTGTTAAATACAGAGAAAAAGAGAGAGAGAGAGAGAAAAAATAGTATAAGTCAAAAATATAGAGACGACACGGAAGAGAAAGAAAAAATAATTAAAAGATATAGACACAGCAGTGCAATTGTGTATAAGCGAGGTTACTATATCACGGTGAAGTAAGGTAGTGTCTCGTTGTTAAAAATAAAAAAATAAAAGGTGAAAAAAGAAAGTAGACGAAGAGAAAGGAAAGGAAAAGGCCTTTGGTTTTTCGTCGGAACTTGGCTTCCTATTGTAGGCGTCCTTTTTTTGTGAAACTGTGAACGATGATCCTGTGTGAAAGTGAACGAAGGTGAAGATTCAAGTGCGCGATTCTAAAAGGGTGCCGATCTCTCGCGCGTGTCCACCTTTCTATCTCTATCTATCGCTATCTCTTCCTACCACCCTCCCCCACCACCCTCATTCTCTCGCGTTAACCGCGAGTGCCGCGAGTTAAAATGGCGTTCGGCTTCGTCCGCAAGAGCGCTTTTCCGTACAGCATCGCTTCAAAGCAATCTTCTTGTGGCTGGTCATCGTCATCGTTATCGTTATCATCATCATCATCATCGTCATCATCATCGTCGTCATCATCATCATCATCATCATCGTTATTATCATCGTCATTGTCATCCTCGTAATCGTTGCAGTTGTTTTTAACGTTGTGCCGCGTTCTCTCTTTGAACAGCTCGCGTTTTTTCCAATCCTTAGCGAGTGTAAAGAAGGAGAAGAAGAAAAAGAAGACGGAGAGAAACCTTTCTCCTCGACTCGTCCTTTCGCTCTCCGCGCGCCACCACATCCCGCGTCCGTCCTGCACCTTCTCTCTCTCCTCTTCATTCTACTCTTCTCTCTTTCTCTCTTCTTTTTCCTCTCCTCTCCTCTCCTTTCCTCTCTTCTCTTCTCTTCTCTCCTCTTCTCCAGGCCGCGCGCCCCGTCGGAGCCAGCCGGCTCGGGCGGCATTCCGCGAATCGCGAACCCGACCGCCTGTCCTCGCGGCAGCCCGAGAAAACGACTTTGCTTCGTATATACGTTCCTCCGCTCCTTCGAACTCACCGTAGACGACTAGCCCCTTCTCGTGCTTTTTCCATCGTTTTTTCCAACCCATCCATACAACGGAATATCCACGACGACGCTACCTTTGGATCTACGGGGACGAGTCACATCTCTCGCATCTTTCTCTTACAGGTGAGTTTAACTTCTTTTTTTTCTCTCATCCTCGGTCGATAACAAAAGTACTTCATGTACTTATTATTTTACAGGACATATTATTTCTTTCTTTATTTTATCCATTTATTTTTCTCTTTTTTTAATATTTTTTATTAATGTCTTTTCCGTATTCTCTTTCGTTGTTACTTTGCTCAACGTTTTTATCGGAGAAGAACAACTGATCTCTCGAACGTGTCAGTACTCTCAAGTTTTCTTAACTCTGTCACATAACCACGCGAAAATTGCTATCGTCTTCTCTTCTTTATCTTTCTCTCTTTCTCTTTCCAACATACTTCTTACCAACCGAACGCGAAATTAATCCCTCTCTTATGAGTATGCTCTAGGGAAAAACCGGTTTAGTTCTTCGCCTTAGTTCCCTCGGTTAAGAGACTTAGTCGAATTCGTAACTCATATCTCTGTGTGTGCATATATATATATATATATATATATATATATATATATATATATATACATACATAATGCGTAAATCGAAAGGATGGTTCGGTCTCGTCTCTTAAAATTCAACTCTTCATTAAACAAAGTCTTTCAATAGCGAATAAATTTCAAATATGCCTTTTCTTCATCGATAAAGAAGTAGAAATAAAATTTTCAAAGGTACAAGATCGTAAACGTTTGTTTTCTTTTTTTTTTTACGAAAAAGAGACAATATTACTCTTCAAGTGTTATTGTTTTTCTTTAAAAGATTTAAAGTGCCTTTTAAAAAATTAAATGCTAACCATAGTAGTAGATTCTTCAAATATTACGGTCCTATATACCCGAAATACTATGTAATATTCTGTTTTTTTTTTAAAGGCATATAGGAATTAACAAAACTGCATTTCTGTGTTGAGATAATATCTGGGGAACTCGTAAAGTTATCTATAAATATAACATATATGTATACACGAGAAACACCTAAAATCGTTGAACCATAGTGATATCTCTGCTTCAATTCGCAATTTATGCTATATATATATCGAAGGATTTACGATACACTCTACTCATATTGTCAGAGTTTGATAGATCCTCGACGACAAAGTTACGACGTGTCAGTGTCATACGCGATATATGTATCTATATAGAGAAATACATATAGGGGAAATAACGATTTGTTATCCAGAAACGATCTCCCAATGATTGTATCATCGATGACTTTTATACGTCCATCCGTTGATACAGTTACAAAATGTTCCAGAATTTGTCGGTCAAATTTTACATATATACATATATACATTATACTATCAAAATTATACCTATGTGAAAAAAATGTCATTAATTTAGGTTTTTTAAAACTTTATTAAAAAGTTCTAACGATCCAATATTTTTTCAATATTAGTGTGTTATCGATAGTCGACGTTTTGAAATAGCAAGATATATGGCAAGTGATTACGTTGATTTTGGATTTGCTCGTTATCTTGCAATACTCGAAACAGTTCGACCATCGTTTTTCTATTTTTTATTTTTTTATTGTATTTCGTGTTTTTGTTATATGATCTACTCGTTTGCCAAATCGATTAACTTCACGAAAAAAGGTAGGGAAAATTAAAAAAGTAATATACATTGTTATATTATTTATTATTGAACAACCATAAAAATAGTTATTATTTAATGATTACTTACTTATTAAAAAGAAATTAATTTTAAATATAAAAAGGTAGACATTAATGAAATGCATTTGTACTAAAAGTTTACAAAATTCTAAAATTAAGTGGATGTTATTTTTTGACACATCTTATTCAGTATAAAAATGGTTTTTTCGTAAAGAAAATTCAATGGAATTATTGTCGATAAACGTAAACATTGATTTGTATCCGTAATGTAAATATTTTCATTTAGTTACCATGTATAGATAGGTATGCATACACGCATGGATTAAGAATTCGCTAGATTGATAAGCAAAGAGCAACCATTTGATAACCCTAGAAATCGAGATGAACGCAGAGTTTTGTTCACATCGACCGATCAATGGACACGCGTTTCTCATCGTTTCGGTTTGACGAGAGATTCTCTGAACTGTAGTATCGTAATTAGCAGATTCAACGGGAATCTCTCTAGCTCTTTTCGTTTATAACATACGTTGTATTCCTATTCGGGTAAAGCATAGAAACATCGTCAAAATGTATGGAACGTTTTTTCATTCTTCCTCGTTTCAATGTTCTTCCGATAAATGTACCAATATTCCAGTAAGAGAACGACAAACTACAAGTATTTGTTTTGTTTTATTTCTGTTTTTATCTTTTTTTTTGTTATTTTCTTTTTCATATAGTATTTCGAACAATGTTTTTACGAGTTATATTCGAAGAATTAAATAAATCGTTATAACTGTGTATACATATCTATGTGTGTATATACATTTGATAAATGTTTTTCTTTTCTTTAGTAAACACATTTTTTTCCATTCAAGAATTTCTATATAAGTACGTAAGAGTATGAAAAAAATTGTGTAATTTATTTAGTAATTTATCGACTTTTTTTTCTGTTTATTTTCATCAAACCAAAGCACGTTTACTTTTGCTCTATCGAAAGCTTTTTGTTACCAGTATAGTGACACGATACTCGCTGAAAACATATGGCATTTCTCTAACTTAAACGGTCGATCGGTCACTGTCAAGACGACGCTCGACGTCGTCGTCAACGTCACACGCCCAATCGCGAACAAATCGTTCCATCGTCACCAAATGTCGTCTTACGGAAAGTTCTTGTTTTCTTTATATGAAGAATACATTTTTTTAAATATGAAACAGTGTAATAGACAGGGTGGTAATTAAATGCATGTCAATATTTCGGGTTTTAAATCTAATAAGTGCAAAAATATTGCATGCATGCTATTGCAGGTCTTATGTTAGTACGTTTTGATCTTATGTAATGTTTAAGACTAGATGAATTTATCGTACGGCCATTAGACTTTTTTGATTTTAACCTATCAGACATTTATTTTGCATTCAACGTCAATAAATAATATGCGTGATGCAGAATAGATTAGAAACTATTTAAGGTATACCTGGTATTTTCGATCGAGTATGAAATCTGTGTTACAGCTTGCAATGGCGTAGATATGAGGTACGAAACAGGTACTTTGAATATTTTCTTTAATCATTCATAGTTTGTAAACTTTATAATTAGATAGATATAACATATACTTATGACGTTTTTTAATTATATTAATGTACACATTTACTTTTATAAGGATTGACATTTTTTAAGAATCACCCTGTATATATTTACTCTTTAATTAATTCATATTCTTCATGATACCACTCAATTTTTGTTTTTCGTTTTATAGACAATTATTAAAGTTAACCAATAAAGTTTGTATTTCATATATAAATAGGAGGTCATATTTCTTGAAATTTGTTTCTTGAAAGTTGCCTCTCGAAACATGCTAAATGTACTCGCATCAGCGTTATACACGGTGAATATGAGAACGATTCAAAGCTGAGAGAGCGCTCTTCCGTTAAAACGCGGTCCATATTTCGGATTTCCTGCCGTCGACAAAAATCAGTTTTGTCTTATTCGCATGGGCGAAATTTATTTTCGCGGAATTACACAAGCCCGATCCGATGGAGCAAATAAATTTTCCCACTACCACTATTTTTTTTTTGCATTTACGAAATATGATTGCGCGTCTATATGCACCTTTTGTTTGTGTGCACGCGTATGTATTATATATAGGTATGTGTGTCTCTACACCATCGAAAATATTCGCATATTTACAATTAGTAAATTGGTAGAACGATTAAAGCCACTTTACAAAACGAACGTTTTTTATTTCTTTTTCTTTTTTACTTTTTACTCACGTTGCACGCTTCAAATTTAAAAAGCCAGAATTTATCAAGCAACGGAAGAAAAATAGTTGTTTCGATTGATGTAAAATTCATTCGTTGCTAATACGAAAGATAGTTTAGATTGGAGTTTTCTCTATTTCTCTCTTGCAATATCTCTCTTTGGAGTGAATATTGTTAGAGAATTCAAGAGATGTTAACACGGAAATTGTATTTACCGAAATTCCTAGGACCGATCCTCGACCTGTACCGAGACACGTTCCTTTACTGAAAAGCAAATGTCTGACAGGTGTTATACGTTATCTCGTTAATATCGAGCGAAACATCGAAGAAAACACGTACTCGTTTTGTTTTATAAATCTATGCATACAAAATATTTTATATTTGTATTAGGATGTGTGCGTAAAGAAAAAAAAAATGCTAGAAGGTGGAAACAGACAGAGAAATGTCATGTTCCTGATGGAAAACGTTCTAGGATCTTGTTCTATGATTAGTGCGCACGCTCACCTATACCACTACTACTATAGAAGGACAGTTCGTAGATGAGTCGTCCGTGTTTGAGCTTGGCTCTTTGTGCAAATATTTTGCGCGGGCAAACACTCGCGATGACGGATCATATCCCCTCGTCGTCGTCATCGTCGTCGTCGTCGTCGTCATCGTCGTCGTTGCATAGTTGGTAGAAACACCAAGGCGGTTGTGTCGACAACGGGATTTTCTTCGTTCGTGAAGTTTGCTCGTAATCCTCGGAAGACGTTCGTTCGTTCTCTCTCTCTCTCTCTTTCTTTCTTTCTCTTTCTCAAACGTAGTACCATCGAAGATCAACTTTCAGAATGGTTCCTCCAGTGATTACGATTTCAAGCTGTTATTAAGGGATTATCATTCTATATACAGTGAATTCTAGGATAATGTATGGTATGAAAATGATGGCAGCTTTAATATCTATGTATGTGTATGTATAATGATTGGTATATTTCTAGATGTTGTACAAGCTATAACTGTAGAAAAATCTTAATACTTCCGTGTAGCTAGCACATTCACAGAATCTTGTTTTGAGTTATCCTGAGATGGTTTAATTCTATTAATTTTTAAGGTCACGGTCCAGCGATTATTAATGACTCATCTGATCGTTTCGAAGAAAAAATATTTTTTCTCGAGTTAGTCACTCTTCTGATACTTTTCTTCGAAAAAGGGATATTA